AGAATAATACAATACCTGTAGACTTTCTTTGTACTTTATTGTAAAATTTTCAATTGTTGTTGAAATTTTGTCATTTTATAATAAATTTTTTTCATCAAGTATGTGTAAATTGCTAATCAAATCAAGGTACTTTTTTGTGATTTAGCCCGAATTCACGACTCTTTTTCATATGATATTCCGATACTAAATATTCTAGAACAAATTGTTGTAAAACTTTAATTTACTAAAAAAATTTAAAATTTTAATCAAAACTAAGATAGGAATTGATGTTTCTTTTATTCACTTATTCCATTATTTTTTCAAAAACAATAAATCTATTAAGTCTCCTCAAGAAATTTAACATTGTATCACAAACTGATTCAAATAATGAATGTGAATAACTGTTATATACGAGTATAAATCAACTTTTACTTTTTTTGAATTGTATAATGAGAAAAATGAAAAATAACAAAAAGAAAAAAACAATTGATATATTATTTTTCAAAGTATATTTGCATGTTATAAAACTTTTTAAAGCAGTCAACCACAATACGAATTTAAGATCCGAACCGCCTTTCAGTTCATTTTATTATAAGAAGAATAAGTGAAATTGAAGGAACGGTGACTACAGGAGCCACAGAATGCAAAAATCTTATTTAATTTTTATTTTTTTTTATTATTTATTTTTTCCGCTTTCATATCTCAATTTCAACATCCCTATATACTACGGTATTATGTGCACATACATATGTATTTTATTATTTCTACGATATTATATCTTACTTTTATATTTTCCATATAAAGAGGATGAAACAATAAAATTCAACTACATTATTATAATGCAAACTATCAAAAACAAAAAAAAATAAAAAAAAATTTCCACAATGTTTTACAATACGTACACGTTTAATAAATCTTAATCCTTATTTAAGTTGAAAAATCGGAAAAGAAAAGAAAAATTATAATATTATTTATATTTTCATCTTCATATTATATCGTATATATGCATTCATACATTGCACGTAAAATATTCGTATATCTTTGTGCATACGTGTATGCATTTTAAATAAATCTCTGTAAATAAATAGTGCTATAAATTATTATTCAAGGATATAAATAATATGTTTGTATATATATATATATACATATATGTAGATGTATACATTTTAATATATTAAAGCTAATATATGCGAATATTTTAATTTACATTTATGTACTCAAAATGCATATTATTATTATATATGTATATGTATATATGTATGAAATTGAAACATAAAAAGAGGATTGCATTCACTTTAAAATCTTTATCCTATATAGCAATATACAATGCAAATGTTCAACGAGAATATATGAGCGTTTTACGTGTTATACGCGAAATGAAAATTTATAAGATTGCATAATAATCAAAAGAAAATATATTAAGTACATATTTGTATGTATGTACATAATATAGTAGGCTATATATAAAAGTAAAGACAATTTAAATTTAAAGAAATATTTTCATTTTCCAAATTCATAGAAGTTGCATTTAAAGCAGTTAATCTAGCTATAATTTATAATGAAAAATTTTAATAAGAAAAATTTTTTTTTGTTAAATTAAAATTTGAGGCATAACACTTAAGTGAAGGTGAAATATTTGCTACCATAGGTTTTAGAGAAAAAACGTATCGAGTAATTAAAATTTTTAATTCAAAATATTTGAAAAATGTTTATGAATTCAATTGTAAATTATTGACAGTTATGATTTATTCGGAGTTTACAAGGAATTCCTGAGACTCACCGGTATTTCCAAAGTAATTTCTTTTTTACATCTTATTTGTCGAGTAACCAAAAATTTTAATTGTCAATTTAAATGTTTCTTGAATTATAATAAAATCTTTTATCTCCGCGATTAGCCGCAACGAGAAAATAATTAAATTGATTTTAAAATGGGTTAACATAATACAAGGTAAAAAGCAAAAGGACATCAGTTTTCTTGAAAATCACTCATACGGTATTCCAGGAAGAGCAACAATAATAAGGTCATAAAAACGGAAAAAGGAAAACATTTTCTCTTAATTTTTGTTAATCCTACCCAATTCTGTCTAAATTTTTCGATTCTGAGAATTCCAGAAATTATTCCAGATTAGAGCACATATTGTTAGTGTATTACACCACATCTAGAATTCTACATAAATAATCTTCAATTTCATAATCAGGTGACACCATTTTTAACTTAAATTAAATGATTTCAGAATTATACACCAAAACTGCATCACCTTAATATGAACTTGAAGGTACTATTTCCAAAATGTGCAAAATGATGAATTTAAAAAAAAAATTTTTTCAAAATTTCCAAAAAAAAAAAAATTTTTAAGAAAATTACAATTTTCAATACACATAAAAAAAATTGAAAACTTCATTTCACATTAAAGATTTCATCAAAAGAATATTATTGACGACAATGCTTATTTTTGGTACAATTCGCACACAAAAAAAAAATCAAAAAGGATTTTCCCTTTGAACATTTAACTATTTCCAGAAGCACAAATTCTTGATGAACATACCATAAATGTACGCTTGTATGAATATAAAAAGTGAGCGTATATGTTGATTTTTAATGCTTAAAATAAAACAATAAAAAAAAAAAAATGTGAATAAAAAAAATAGTCAAAAAAAAACAGTACGTTCGTTGCCTTGTCTTCAATTTATTTTTTTTCCCATACAAAGGAAAAACCACTTCATATTTTTGTTGAAAGATCAAATTTTCTTTTTTCGTTTGTTTTGTTTTCCTGCTTTTGCTAACTTTTCAATATAGTTAAACTAATATTTACTACATATAACGCGGGATATAAAGTATAAAAACAAAAACATTTTGCTTATGTATTTTAGTACAAGGTGTCCAATATAGTAAATCCAAAAAAATATGAAATATTGTGAGAAACTCAAAACAATAAGAGAATGGAAGATTTTGGATTGTTTTCAAAATGTAAAGATTTACAAAATTGTATAAATTTCAGGCGCCATCTTTTAGTATTTCATGCAATGAGATGACTATTTTAACTTAAGCGTAATATTTAACGCTATTAATAAAGCCCCTCTAATATAGGTCTTTAATTTAAAATTGTTCATTGCTCATACTAATTTACAGTGTTAAATATAAAAATAATAAAATTAAGAGTCTTAAAATTAATAAAATTAATTTTGTTTCTTAATTTTAAAAATATTTTGAAGAGATAAAAATATTTGATAGGCAACTTCTTATATTACAGTCAACATTATTTATTATAAACATAAAACACTTCCACTTAATCCTAAACGCGTTGTCCTGCGACTAACGTTATTCATATATGTAAATAAACTAAGTATACAAATTTACAAAACAACTTATATTCTATGATAAAAAACAAATATACCATATTTCTGATGTTGACGCGCTCTTTGAACAATTCATTTCACATGATCAAACATTGCTCATTTAAACCATCTCTCATCTCTCTATATATATATAAACTTGCACACTAAAATAAATTGTTCAATAACAAAAAAAAAAAAAACAAAAATGTTAAAATATAAAATAACAATCTATTTATATTGTACACGAAGAGAGAGAGGGAAAAACATAGAAGTATTAAGAAACTTTTATCTATTCCATCATTATTCATCACTAATATCATCTTCATCATATTTTTTAACACCATCAATATCGTCATCATCAGCAATTTATAAAAGACTTTTGGTAAAAATACTATATAGTGTTTATATTGTACACAAATACCTACATATGTATGTGTAGATGAAATCATTCATTGATACGAGAGCTATAGAACAACAGAACAAGAAATTGAAATAATAAAGAAAAATCGGAAGTGAAAGGATCAAGAAAACAATAATCGGATGTGTATGATTTTGACAACAAAAGAAACAGTTTCTTATATAAGAAGAGCATTTTAACAACACTTTCTTTTATAATGTATGTATATACTCGTACACATACAAATATGCTCGCAAACTATTAATTATATAATGTTTACATTTCTGTACATAGAAGACAATAATTACTTGTCTACACTAAGGTGTAGCTGTGTAGACGCTTAAAAGAAGATTTTATAAATTTTCTTTTTCTATATACACTCTAGCATTAATAATTTTTTTACGAGTATATTTTTTTATACTTTTATCAAGTATCTTCGAAAACGATAACGTCATGAAGAATTGGAACAAAAAAAAAACACTCGAATTATTTTTCTTTTATATACTTGAAAAGTTATTGTGAAAACTATTTGTAATATTGAAGATGTAAAAGTAAATACATTTTTGTTTACATGAGTAGAAACTAAAACAATCTTGATTAAACTAAAAAATAATTACATTTTAAATGTTACATGGTTTACACTATGACCACCAAACATAAAATATTACATAAATACAATAAATCCTGTACAAAATTTTCCCAAGTCCCTTTAGCAGAATGTCTTCAATTCAGACCATTTAGGTCTGTATTACACTCTTTTAATGAAAATTTCTTGAACAAATTATGGAAGATTTAACGAGCCTATATTATCTTTAATTAGATTGCTAATGAACCGTGATCCCTATTCATCTGTTAAGCCTAACTGCTAATCATAACCCACAATACACCTTCCATCGCCCTGATGAATTCGAGCAAATTATAGAATTATCTTGACGCCCTCCCAGAAGAAGCTTAGTCTATCTCCCAACTAAACCTGTAAGCGCAATCAGAAGTGGTCCGGCAAGATATCCGTGAGCATTCTCTCTTGGTTAGAATCTATTCAAATAATCTATTGAAAACATTTCTAGTTACAATAACCCAAAAGAGATTTATATTGTTAAAGTCTCGCACAAGTCTTTCGTCGTTCCGATCGGGTCCGTTCCATCATCTTCCTTAGTTCTCCTTGTACTGTGCTATTCGATTTCGCAGAAGAGCTCTGACCCGATAAAGAATGAACTAGCTCATCTTCTCACCAACACGTCTGCCATTTCATTCTGCTCTAATTCCATATATCCTGGTACCCACCAGAATGTCACCCGGCTTCGTTTACCAAACCGATCAAGTGGCTTTGGACAGTCCCATAACTTTTTCAAAGGTAACATAATATAGAATATAAAAGAGTAAGAATATTTTTAAGAAAAAATCATCAAATGTTCTAAACCCTCTGATTAAAATATGCATATCTGAAAGCATGCAGAACGTTCTCTGTTATACGGACTTCGTCTATTTATAATTATTGTACTCAATGGTAATGAAACTGAACTTGATGTTTTAACTATCTCTAAAGATTATTTCGAATGAATTTGGAAAAGTTACTTTCTTTAAACTTATATTCGAAAATAATACTGTAAATGAATTGCGAGCAAAATCTAATGCTACTTCTCTTAAGTGTAGTTTATTCTCCACTAATTCATATAACATAAAATTATTATAAAATGTTGATAATGGCATTTCAATATTAATTAATTATTTGCTTTGAAAAATTTCATTACTGCAGCATTTAATAACCAATCTAATCAAGAAATCTATTGCATTTCAATAGCAATAAAACCAATAGAAATGAATTTAAATTTATAAAATTTCAACCATTTGAAATCTATTATATCTAAATTAAAATCTTAATATTGATTTTATAAATTTTATTTATTCAAAAATGATTTCATTCCAATTTATTGCATAATTGCAAAATGCACTCTTGAAAGGTTACATAAAATATCCTTATTTCCTTTATATTAATTATGAGAAAATTCAACTTTATTAAACCAAAATAATAACATTCTATTGAAAATTATTAGAATGCTTATTGTTTTCTAAATTTTGTTTAAATAATAAAACAAAATTAAATCGATTATTTGCTCTACCACAAATCTCGAAACCCCACCCATTATCAACATAAATTTTAGGTTCCTTTTTTTTGTTATTGTAATTTTAAATCTCTTAATTAAATTGAAGTCAAAAATATTTTTTGTTGTCAGAGTTTCCCATCGTTTTCATTGTTTGCTCTCCTTTCTCTTTCTTCTTTTACTTTGCTTTTTTGCAATTTTAACCTCAATTTGGAAAATTTTTTCATGTCCTCTGTTCAATACTTTACTGATTTTATAATCATAATTTTTTATTTTATGTCTCTTTTTTCTCTCTTTTGTACAAGATTATCGGATGTTTTACATTTTCTCATAATTTTGCTTCAACTAAAAACAACAAAATCAAAAGAAAAAAACAATCAAAAAACAAAGGACAAAAAAAAAAAATGAAAAACCAATTTCTACCTTTTGTTGTCCTTGTATATTTGAAATTTTATTTTAGTAAATTAAATTTTTTTGTTTGTGTTGTTGTTGTTGTTTAACATTTTCTTTTTTTTTTTGCTTTTTCTTTTCTTTTTTTTTTCTTGTATTTTTTATTATAGGTACAAAATGGCCTTCATTTGCCATTAACAGGAATTGCACCACCGCGTGTATTAATGTGTAGTGCCTCTATGGGTGCTGAAGGATCAGTAACATTACAATTACGTGAAGCTGTTCAAGCACCTGATACACCAAATTCATTGGATCATACTGCTTTAACAATATCTGGTTACCCGGATCCAGAAATTTTAGCTGATGTTTTAGGGTCACTACAAGCTGCAGGTAAATAAAATAATTTATTTTCATAATATATATATATATATAAAATAAAACATGAGAAAAAAAAAAAACAAAACCAAACAAAAAAATGAATTATTGAAAAGAATAAGAAAAGTTGCAAAAGTATACAAGAGAAAAACAGCAAAACCCAAAGTATACCTGTGTATGAACTTTAGTACATTATTATGAAAACACATTAAGCAGGTTATCCATAAATTCACAAATATGTACCTAAATAATAAAAATGTCGTTGATCCCATATTGATCTCATCGGCAAAATATTCGCTAGTGAAAATGTACTCGTAGAGCAAATTGCTGCATATTATTTAGATTCCATGCCATACCATAAAAATATTTTTAAAACGATTGGTTACTGATTTCTTTTCACTTAATTACTGACTGCTTTTGTAATTTAAGTTAGTAGCATTCAATAATAAAATGAATTATTTCGTTAATTTCTTAAATAGTGTATTTATAATGGACTTTTCAAACTACTGTTTAATATTTTTTAAAAATTTTGTAACAAATCGAATTCTTTAAGATCTCACCAATGAGTTCTCATTCCAAGTCATTTCCTCAGTTTACTAACTTCAAGTACAAATTGTTTATGTCAGACGATTGCTTAGTACAATCATTTGAGTATAGCAAAGCAAATATCATTTGGCTATCACGAACGTCTCTATCAGTAACTATAACTAAAAAGCGTCATCATTTGATAGATGGAAAGAAAAGAGAAAGGAAGTGAGGAGGAAAAAATAAAATTAGTAGTCATAATTTAATATAAGAAAATTATAAATTTAAACAGCTAAAACCAAACGTATACGACTACTGTACGGCGAATTATTAGAAAACGTCACATAAACTAGAAAAAAAATTAAACAAAATCAATACTACTGTATAGTTTAGTCTTAAGCCTCGTCTTACTTATGCTCACACAAAAAACAGACGGGTGCAAGTTAGTTTAGCACAACATACCCGTCACTGGTTCGCGCATCCCTAAGTCCGTACTATGACGCGGAATGTTAAAACGGTCAATCGACCTTAAACTACTAAGGTAATTTAACCCCAGTATCCGCGGTTAATCACGTTATTCACAACAAGTTGATGAATGAAAACTATATCGGAAGCTATCCTACGACAAAAGCTGAAGACTACTGTCATAAGGAGGCAATCTAAGCGGATCCGGCCAACAGTAACACAAATATATTAAAGCACGCAGAATCCGTAAAACATTTCATCTCTAATGTTATATCAAATTTGAACTGATTACGTATTTATTATACAAACTGTGTACATACTTATAAAATACAATATCTATATCTACATATATACTTTTCATTTTATGTTTGATAGCATAATATTGCTATTGTTGTTGTCCTTTCTTATTTTATATAAACAATAATAACAGAAACAAAATACAATACAAAAAAAAATAATCTGGTAGGGAGATTGTTATAACGTCAATATTGTCGTTGTAATATTCATTTAATAATGAATTATTTTATGAAATTTCAATTAAGAAAATTGCAATCGATGATGGTTAGTGTTATTATATAGCACGTATACATATAGTCTCTTTACATTAATAATAATGATCTTGATAGTTATATTGATTATAATGTATTATATAATAATATCTACTATTACACGTATTTGTTTACATATTATATACACTTATTAAAGTATATACCAACATCTATATAATGTATAATAAAGAATATTAATGATGCTTTTACCTATTTATTTTTATAACAACATAGTTAAAGGTTATTGCAATAACTTTATGAAAATATCCTTTTTGTTTTTTTTTTTACAAAAAAATTTTAAAGATTATTATTATTACATAGATTTTAAACATAATTTAATATTAATATTCCATTTATAATATCATTACTATTAAATTCACAGAATTACGATATTAGAAATGAACGAAAATAAATCATTTTTTGACGTAAATAAATAAAATTTACCATAAAAATAACAGATAATTTTGAACACTATGGTAAACAAACATTAATTTCAATATTAAAAAAAAATATGGAAAAATATGTAAGGACGAGATTGAGTAATTTTCTCGTTTTTCAATTCCCTTTTTATTTGTTTATAAAAAAATTTTTGTGTGACAGTAACCTACACGCATTGTTGCACAATATTACATAGATAAAATAAGAAAATTAAGTTGGAATTCTAACAACCTTAATGAGTTAGTTAAATTCATGTTATTTTTTCCACCATTTCTATATGGAGAAGCTGACGTCTGAACAACATTCACAAACTATGAAAATTTAAAAAATATCAACAAAAAATGTATTCGATGAGCTGCTAATTTCATTTTTTAAGCTTATCACGTAATTTCCACGGATAACAGAAATGATTTTAAGCCTTTAGAAACTTTTTTTAGCAGGTTAGTGAAATCACTTATTAACACCTAAAACTGTGCGGAAAAATTGACCAAAAGCTAAGCTTTTCGATTCGATCACTTGAACATGGTTTTACCAAAATTTGAGTATTTAAATTTAAAAAAAATTATTTAGAAATTCACAATTTTTCTGTGTTTTCTGAAAAATTTCAAAATCAGAAGTTAAAAAATCTCCTCTGTATTAAAATATAAAAAATGCTGTCTTACGTTGAGAATCCAAAACCAAATTACAAATTGTATTTTTCCTAAAACAATCAGTGAGGTCGAGAACATCAAAAATTAACTACACTCTGCTCACCATAAATTCTCTCTATACTATCCGAGAGTACAGAAAAGTTTGAATACTCAAAAAACATTTTTTGTGCAAAATATTTTCTATATATGATGAACTCATTACGCTCATTGCAATTAATAATTACTCATTTTTGTTTTCTTGTTTTTGTTTTCCAAGTTTTTCAAATGTATCCTTAAAATATGTTACCGCAACTGTAATTTTTTTTATCTCTCTCTCTCTCTCTCTCGCTCATTATTCACACCCATATACACTATTTAAATATCAACTTACACATGTACATTATAAATGTAATAAACATTTTTACACTGTATCTACACATATACACATTTATAATTTAAATATATATATATATATATATATATATATGTATGTATAATGATATGAAACAATTTTGAAAGTAATAATAATGAAAATGCCCTCAAAATGGTTTTTAATAATGAATTTGCCATGTTATTTTTTTTTTTGTTTTTGTTTTAGCGTATGCTTTACTTTTATTTTTATTTATAATGATGGGAAGTTTATTTAATGGAAATTTCATGAGGATAAATTTTATATTGTTTTTTTCCTTCTCATTTTATTTTGAATTTTTCTTTTTTTGCATTTTTTTTTGTTTTACTTTATTTTTTTTTTTTTGGTATAGGAAAAATTTTTCATCTAAAAGTTTTGACGTCATAAAAGTGTACATAAATTATATCATAAAATATAAAAACTGGCAAGTGGTACTTAATTATGGATTCAATTTTATAATAGTGCTGTTATATACTGTTTAAGGACAAGGAAAATAAAAAAAAAAAAAAAACAAAAAAAAATAAAAAAATATTGAAAACAAAATTACAATATTTTCGATAGTACTTGAGTTTTAAGGACCAAAAACAAAATAAAACCAAAAAATTGTCAATACAAATTATCGCCTCAAAATATGCAACAAATTTTGAAGTATTGGAAAATTTTCAATTTTAATGAATTCGAGCATTATTTGTAAAAAGTTTTATGTACATGCATATATCTACTTATAAAGTAATGTACACAAAAAATATTGAAAATTAAAATTACATAATTGATATAAAACGAGTATTCCAAGTGATATTAGGGTACGGATTTCAAACTTTTAAATTTGGTATTGAAAAAATTCCAAAAAATTTAAAAACATTTTCATTGCCTTCATCTTTTATAAATTTTAAAAATTCTAAAATATTGAAAAATAAAAGAAAAATGTCAAATAAATAAATTGGAATTATGGAATTTTTGTTGCAATATAATAAAAAGCAGATTTTCTTTGCTAGTATAACGCGCAATCTATGTACCGAACTTTGTCTCGAGAGGACATCACCCTTTAAGACTCATTTAGTTTTATCATTCATTTTCAAATATTTAATAATCAATAAACAATGTTTGAATAAATTTTACAAAATCACTTAAAAATGCATAGTAGCAATTATTTCTTTCAAAATTTAGACCTCTTATATTATAGGCATAATATTTACTTCATATTTCTCTCCAATTAAATTATTTATTCCGCAGTTTTAACTACTATTTTTCATATTTCACGTTAAATATGATATTATATGCAAATTTCACTAGGTCTGTGTAATTATAATTAAATCATTCCTTACAGTTACAACTGCATTTGCAGTTTTACTATATTAAAATATAGCATTCCTTTAATATACTTGTATCCTTTCAAATTTAACAAAAATATTAGAAATCTTTAAAATACATCTGAATTTTTTTTTATAAAACTTAAAATTTAAAATAAACCACAAATATGTACATACCTTACATTTGTAGTATAGAAAGCCATACACACGTATTATAAAATTCAAAATGCCCCTTAAAAACTATATTGAATGGAGTTTCTTAATAAAAAAAAACTTTAATACAAATCTTATCTAAAAATTTGAATATACTTCTTAAAAACAGTGCTTCAACTGAATTTGAAACAAAATTTCTTATTCAACTGACCATCATAAATTCACAATCTTTTAATTTTAATTTATTTATTTGAAATTTATAGTTCACAAAATAACGTATAAGTTTTGTTATAATAAAACTTTAAAATATCCTCCTTTATTCACAATAAAAAAGATACCTATATATAATTGAACTTTTTATCATTTTAATGTAAAAATAAAAAAATAAAAGTTAAAAATCAAAGATAAAATTTTAATAAAAAATTTAATAATAACTTTGCCACAATTTTAAATTCCAATCTTAGATGATATTAAGCAGAGAAAAAAGAATGAACGGAAAAAAAAGGAAAAAAGAGATTTTGCATTTCTTTTTAAAAGGAGGGCATTTTATCAAAGCCACACCTTAGTGTATTTGTACAACTATATACCTATAACGATATTGGTATGTGTACGTATAACAGTTTGTATAAGTTCTTTAAGTTCAACATTTTTCTAATGAATTCTTACGGCTAACAATTAACTTCTTTTTTTGTTTGTATCTCCTCCATCTTTATACCGTATACCTAGTACAATCATTATTATTATCATTTATACAAAAGCTACTGATGAAGTAAAAAATGAAAATATAACAAAAAAAAAAATTGAAATATTTTTTTTTTCTCTTTCTGGTTGAAAGCAATTTTAGAAACAACCAGACATAAAACTTTTATTTTATTCATTTTATTTCACATTTCTTTTTTTTTTTTGTTAAAATTTTCGAACCAGCATCTAAACTTTTTACTTCAATTCATTCGGTCCGTAGGTACATATATAAGAAGAATCGAAAAAAAAAAATGTTGTGTTTCTACACGCGTGTATAAAATTTTATAATAAAAATGAAAATTCATCAACATTATATAAAGGGACGGGAGATGAAGAGATTTCTTTCAGGTCCAACATAAACCATTCTTCTATATATACTTCCTTTTCTAATTTCTCATTTTGATTTGCTTCATTCATTTAAAACAGGCGCAAGTTCTTGTTTGTTAGTATAAAAACTTTATAGTCCTTAGTGAATTCAGGACACAAACCATATAACAAAATAAAAAAAAAAATTTGTTTTTTTTTTTTTATTTGTTATTCACATTAAAACTACAGTGGGGGTTAAAAACTTTTGAGGACACTAAATGTATATAAATTCATATATATATATAATGTGTATATGGCGATAGAAAGAGAGAGAGGAAAAAAAATTAAACTTTTTTAAATAGTAAACGAAAAAATAAATAAATAGCATTAAAAGTTTTGACATTCAAAATAAAAAAATTTTTTTTTTTAAATTGTAAATTTCGTTTTTCCCTATTTCACATTATTCCTTGTGAATTGGACAACCACTAATCCGAAACCAGAACATAAAAAGAAACAAATAAAATGTCGAAAATAAATGAAAAACTTGAAATAAATTTATAAAAAACTGGACGAACATTAGGATATCACTGCGAAACATGACACATTTCACAAAGTTATAATTTCTAAAGGAAAATTAAGCAGGAGCCTTACAAATTTTTACTCGATTTTATGCCGACTTTCATATTTTCAAATTTTGCATATTTTGTGAATAAATTCATTATTGATTACATTTTGCAATACAGAATTTTCTTTAATTTTCTGAAGGGCTTAGGGTGAGACTTGAAATTTTTTGTTTTTCAACTGTTTGATTGCTTATTTTTACTCCATAGGTTTATATTCAAGCTGTCACTCATGCAACTGTATGATCGCAAGCAATTTTTTAATTAACTCAAACTAAAAATTGCCTGAGCCCTGAGTGCTTTGAAAAGAGCATAGTACACAAAACAAGTTTAAAAAAATCGTAATTAAATTTCGTATTTTTTCCAAAATTTTGTATTTTTCCAAAACAATATTTCGTTATATTATGTAACACTTAGCTAAAAAAAGATGCTTGTCGAACAAATTACATGTTCAGGACCAAATTTATGAAAAAAGTAAAAGTTGTGGAAGATTACAGCAAAAAGTTCGAGAAAGTTTGATAGCTTTTACGAATTATACAATAAATTGAGTTCTTTTTAATAATTTTAAGGCAATGCAGGAAGTTTTCCACTTGCAACATTCCACCAAATAACACAAATGGAATTGTCAAATTCAAAATTTTGATACCATCAAAATTATTTAGAAAAATAAAACAATTTCAACTTTTCAATTTACCATAGACATACGAATGGTTTTTTTTTGTATTCAAAGAATGTACAAATAAACGAAATTTTACAAGGAAAAAAAAACAAAACATAAAATTAAAGAAAAAACTTTTCTATTTCTCTTTGATTTATTAAAAGTTATCGTGTGTAAGTGATTTCCTGCGTTTCGGGACATTTTGCGCGATTAATGTGAATGTGAAAGGAACAATATGAGAAAAGGATAACATGAGTATTTTCTTGTTTTAATAAGTGGCTTAAATTAAAATATTTTGGCAATTTTTTGAAAAATTCCACTTTGACTGAAATAATTCTCGCTTTCATATTATTTACTTTTTTCGAAAAATTTTTAAATCCTTGTATTTTTAATCGCTGTTTTTTTAAAGTTCTTAAGTAAATCCTAATTAATTCGTTAATTAAATGAAAAATTCTAAAAGAATTAAATTTCAATTTCATAAAATTATTTTTTAAATAAAAACTATATTGTTCCACAAGAAAAAAATAGATTCTAGCTATTAGAGCATTAGACTTCATTTGAATTTTTCATGTAATTTCTATACTACGCAAACCAACAAAATTCAAAATGAACAACTTAAATTAATGCCAGTTTCAATATTAAAACAAACATTGAAATTATATTGAACAATTTATAAATCTAGATGAATTTACAAAAAAAAAAATTATTAATTAAATTTCTAACATTTTAGGTATTAAAGAAAAATATCAATATTTACACATTATACGGTAGAAATTGTTTTACTTTAAAATAACCAATTTATTTTAAGAAAAAAACAAAAAAAAAATTATAATAGAAAAAGCCTTGCTTTGACCCCTCATCTATAACTAATAAAATTGTAAAACAAATAAATAAAAGAGAAAAATTTCTAAAATGATTCAAATTCAAGAAATTCCCTTTGATTTCATGCTCTGTAAAATTGCACATTAGTTGCGCTTTAAAAACTCACAAATAAACTTTACATGTACTTACATATAATGTAGAGAGTCTAAAGTTTTGTAACAAACTTTTAACTGATATAACCCAACCCCTTAAGGTTTTTTTTTTTTAAACTGCAATTTTTCAACAAAACCACTCTCTTTCCCTTCTGGTTTCTCTTCTATTCAATATTTAAAAGTAATTCTAACATTAAACAAAGAAAAAAGAAAAAAAAATAACAGTAAAAACGAATTATTACCGTCCTCCCTAAAATAAAAATCTAACTTTTTTATTATATGAATTGAAAAATATTAACAAAAGAGAAATTATTTTTCATTTCTTTTTTATGTTGTGAATTCTTGCAGAGCGTGAACAATAATACTTGATTTTTCTTTTACATTTTATATATATATATTACTATATACAATCATAAATATATCACAAAACAAAAAAAAAAGAAATAAAAACAATGTTGATAAATACTTTTATTTATACATAAATTTTTTCTTTTATTTCTATTGCAGCATTAAATAACAATAACAGTAGTAACACTACTGTTATTGGTAACACAAATAACGCTATTACAGCATCATGTACAACAGCCACTACAACAACTAATCTTAACGGTTTAAATAGTAATAACAATCATAATAATAGCATTGGAAATAGTAGTGGTAATAATAATTGTAATAATGGTAATGCTATTATATTAAATGGTATAAAAACAGGAACAACAACATCTGTACAACATCAACATCATACAATAACTACATCAAATTCAAACGGAATTCCTAATAATTATAATAGTAATAATAGTAATAATACAAATAGTAATAATAATGGTGCCAATAGTAATTTAATTAATAATAGTAATAATATAAACAGCAACCAAAATTGTAATAGTAATAATAATAATAATAATATCAATGTCAGCAATCATATTGTAAATTGTAATAGCAGTAATAGTAATAGTAGCACATCAAGTAATAATAGTAATAGTAGTAGTAATATCAGTAGTATAATAAATAGTGAAAATTCAAATACATCAATTCCTGGTACAGTTGTAGCAACAGTTCAACAATCACAACAAACAACAGCAACAATGATAAATACAGCATCAGGAACTAATAATAATAATAATAGTAGTGGTAATGCCACAACATTAACATCAAATCAAAATTCACAAACAACTACAACTGGTACAACTACAACAACAATTGTTGTTCGTAAACAAAGACCAAAAACATCGTCACCAACACGGCATGGTCCACAACAATGTCAAGTAAGTACTTATGATTAAAAATATAAAATGTAATTATTAAATATTTTGGTTATCAAAATTTTTTACATAAATTTTAAAATCAATTATTAAGTTGAAAGGAAGATTTGGGACTGGAATTAAAAGTTATTAGATATACCTTTGAATATTATTTGAATTATAGTATGAAATAAGTAGCTTATAGATCTCCACGTGAACCGTAATATTGATTGTTGTATAAAAGTTTAAATCATAATCTAGTATTACAAGCATATCAAATTTATTTTGTGCAACAAAATAAATTTGTATAATACAATGTACTAGTCATACTGTCACATATAAAGCTTTCTCTATAAATATTCAATTGATGAGTAAATTCTCCCTCTAACTTAAATAATGCAAATTCAAATAATTAATATTTCAAGAGTGTTAAAATATTTTATCTCATTTTCCAATAATTTCAAGTTTTTAAAGATAAGGGAACATAATATACTTAATTGAATTTATTGCAACAATATTGAATTTTGAATAGAAACACTTAAAATCTCAAATTCCCATCACAACACAACATCAATAATCTCCCCAAAAATATAATATAAAAGAGATAAATTAAAATCTAAAGTGATTATCATTAAAGATTATCACAATATTATTATACTGTCACAATGTACATGTATATACCAATATGTAGATGTATAGTATATTTGCTTACCGTTCAATGTAATTTAATATCGTAATATTAATTGCCTTTTTGCTATACTATTATACAATACTATATACAGCATATGAGTTTCTCTATTATCCTTATTTTGAGGATTTTTCTTTTTAGTAAGTAAACTGATATTATAATGACCCCGTATATTCTTTTGTTTTTTTTTCTGTTTTCTCTTCTTTTCATCCTTCTTAATATTATATATTATGAGACAACTTAAATCTTTGATATTTATTTACGATAAAACAGTTCATTATTGTAATACAACAAATCAAGAGAACCGAACAAAAGATATTTTTATAAAAAAAAAAAGTAAAAACAAAAATTTTCTCAAAACATTTCTTAAATAAAAGCAAAACAAGACAAAAGAGAAAAAAAAAATCCCAAATAAATAAATAAAAAAATTATATGGAAAAAAAAGGAGAGAAATATTTTTCACCTGTTGTTTTTCCTGCAAATTTCTTGGGTTCATTTTCTTGTATTTTTAACTTTACATAAAGCAATTTATAAAATATGTACATACATATGTGTACATAAAAGTATGTTCTGTACCGTGTCATGGCGTCAAGAACAAGAACAACAGGAAAAAAAACATTTTCCTTTTTTCTTCTTTCTTATTATTTTTCTGTTCTCATCCCTTTTTCTTTTAAAATCAATTTAAATGATACTTAAAAATTCTGTCCTCAATCCAGAAATTTTTAACTTAAATAAATATTATAAATTTATATGTGTGTTTGTATATAGAATTTTTATAATAAATATATTTGTTTTGTATAGGTGTTCATTCGATCAAAGTGTATAATAAAAGTTTATCCCTTCTTCTTCTTATTCTTATTATTCTTCTGTTTTATATTTATTGCTTTCAACAAAGAACATCATATGCGAATTATTCTATACCCTTTAAACAAAAAGAAAAATAAAGAAATTTTTTAATATTTTTATAGCATTTAAAAATTGATTTTTTGAAGACATTCAGTAAAATTATTATTATATAGGTATATAGGGGAAATAACCTTAATGAAGTGCACATAGTAAAAATAAAAGGAGGATTTGAACAAGTTGAATAAAAACCATACTAAATAACTTTAAATTCACATATTGACTTATTCATTAAATTATTTAATTAATTCCCCCAAAGAACCTACGTTATATCAAAAATATAAGGGAACTCAAACTTTCAATAAAAATCAAAATGTAGGAAGAATTTAAGGAACTCTAAAAAAATTATGGAACTCTTAAATTTATTTCTGAGAATCAGGTTGCTTGTTAAAATTGTGATTTTCCCTCACTTGACACACACCTTACAAATTGAACTACGAAAGCAAAAGGAAATTTTCATAATTTTATTGCATTTCATAATTTATCATACAGAACCATAATATTGAACCTATTGTTGTACTATTACACTAAACTATCAACCATAATACAATAAGTTTGAAAGGAATAAATGCAATCAAACAGTACATAAAATGGCATTAATGTGCTTGCAAACAGTGTTGTAGAATTTAGAAATTCTTCATTTTCAATTATTATAATATTGTTCAATTTTATCTTAATAATTATTTTGTGGTTAAACTGCATTAAATTCTTATGAGGTCTGAGTTCTGATTTGTTTGAGATCCGAGTTCTGAATTATATTTAATAATTTATAATTAAATTTGGTATAAAATCGAAACCTAACACATACACCTATAATTCCTCATATATACAAGCATCCTGTATACACATCCTTATTCTATAATGAATATTTATTTATATAGGACTTAACAATTAAAATATCTTAAACTTTATTTTTAAAAATTTCAAAAAGAAAGCTCTTAAATTTTATTCCTGCCAATTTTTAAGAAAAAAACTTTTGTAAATATAAATTTGAATACTTTGTTCAAAACCATAATAAAAAATAAATAAAAATGGAAAACAACAACAGAAGTTTTTTTTGTTTCTTTTCGTAAAAAATTTTTAAACTTTTTAATCTTTCTTAATATTTTTAAATGAAACAGGATTGAAATGAAAAAAGAAAAAAGTATTTTCATCGGAAAAACACGAACTTTAAAATTTTCTAACCTTGTTTATTTTTACATTTAGTCCGTGCCCAAACCTACTTTTGATTACCGAAGCGAGAATTCAATATTAAGAGAATGAGAGAAAAAGAGAGAGAGTGAGTGAGTTCTGTAATCTGACTATTTGTTTCTATTTCTTTTTTTCTTTTGTATATCTGAGACATTGGAATATTATGAATGGTGGTGAATTTTCACAATTTTTACATCCCATTCCTCCCACTGTTTGTTTTTTCGATTTTGTCAATGTATTGTCGTTGTTTTATTTTCTGTTCCTTTATTTTGTATAGCTTCTGTTAATATCGCCATGAAATCGTTTTTAGTCCTTGTTTTTCCTTTAATTTTTTTGTCAGTATTTTTTGATTGAAGAGTTCGATGTTTCTTTTTGTAGATTTTTTTTTTCTTTTTACTCAATATCTTGTATTTTTTGTTTTTCATTTTTATCCTGCCTTTCATTTTTATTTGTTTGGTTTTTATGCTTACAAAGGATTCTGAAGTGTTTGATTATATGAGAAAAAAATAAGTTAACATGAAGTTTTTTCATTCAGGTTTAATTTTTATTTTTATTTTTTATCTTTACACAAAAAAAAAAATTTATTAAAAACAAATTTTACTTTTATATTCTTGACGTACGATGATGTGGTCCAACTGAGACATTTCACCATTCATTCTCAATAATACCATACCCATCTACAATCCCTATAATCTTTTATATAAAGGGAAAATGACTTTAAAATGTTGAATTTATTTTTATTTTAAAGGAATTTTAACTTTAATAAATAAAATTTTTATTAAAAATTCATTTTGGATTATGATTCGTCTCAGAATTTCATTATTTATTTTTATATACCCTCGAACATTGATTTGTGAATTTTGGTCAGAATTTTCATTGAAAGGGAATTTATCATACCAAATTGAAATATAAAATCGCACAAGATTACGTTAGAATTTTCGAAATCTTCTGTATATAATTATATATGAATGAGTTTCGCTTGAAGATGTTGCAGTACAATCGTGTTATTTTTCGATATTATTAATTTTAATCAAGGATACTGATCTTAATACTGAATTCATATTAGTTTTTCTTTTAAATATAAAAAAATATTTTGTGTACTTATCAAATTAAGTAATTTGTCTTTAAAATTCGTTCGCATATGATATATATGATAATAATTATTATAGTGTTTCTGAAATTTTAAAATATTTAATTTAAAATCAATCATTTTTCGAAATAATATATTTACAATTTGGTCCTTTCGGTTTCAAGCTACAATATTGATTGTTATGTATTTTATTTATTATGTAAGCATTTTCAATTGATTTTTAATAGTCTAGTATTTCTATGCAATATAAAAAAATACGTTTCACGTTTCAATACCTTAAAATTATTTTAGAGTACCTTAAAATTATTTGAAAATGCTTACATAATAAATAAAATATATAACAATCAATATTGTAGCTTGAAACCAATTAATATTCAATACCTTTTTCTAGTACTAATTTTAAAAGAAAGTTATAAAAGTGTAATTAAAATTTATAAAAAAAAGCCCTTCAACTTTAAAATTTTTAAAAAAAGACATTCCCGAATTAGTTTCAACAATTTCTCTCATCATATTCCCTATAATATTATTTAAAAAACTCCGGGAATTTCACCTAAAAATTGAAAAAATTTTAAAAAACAAATTTTGTACGCACCTCAACAATTATTTTTTCCTTACTTTTCAATTTTACGCTCATATTCAAAAATTTTATTTTTGAAACTGAAATATTAAAAAAACAAATTCCAGCTTTTTTCTCTTATTCTTTTCCAATTTTTTTATCTTTTTTTATTATTAAGAAACTTTTATGTTTCATAAATTTAAAGTAATTATTTCCTATTTAACTTACTATGCATATATTTTTAAATATTTGTATATAGTATACATACATACATGCAAAAAAATAAAAAAAAATTATTATAAATTATATAAAATTCTCATTATTGTGGTTATAACAAGAACAGAAAAGCAAATAAGAAATGAGAAAAGTTTAAATTTCAGACAATTTTCATACTTAATTTTCTTTTTTTTTTTGCATATATCGCAAAAACTTCACTTTCAAATAAATTTCATGTTTTTATAGACATACTATAAAGTGTATTTAATACACTTTATAGTATAAGCGTATAGTATGTATACCGTATGCATATGTTCAGTGTGTAATTTAAAAATTAAAAATATACTATTTAGTTAGGATATCTACATATATACATGTAT